TAATAGATAGGCAGGTTCTGTTGTGACAACTTGTCCCATATAGTGTAAGCACTATTGGGGCATATTATGTGTTAAAGGGGCTATACAGCTTTTTTGTAACCAAGTGTTTACGGTGTGTCTACACAAAAACTGACTTCCAAAAACAAACCGAGCCTGAGAAATATTTTCTGGAGTAAAAAGTGTCACGATTAAGCAAAACCTTGGAGGTTCCTTAATTGTTTGTTATTTATCTTACACTCACATACAAATATTGCTTTGACTGAACTAAAGCAAAAAGTCTGTGCAGGCACTTTCTCAAAGCTGGAGTCTGTTGGCCAGACTAGAGCTGGATTTAAAATAGGTCCAGTGTGTCAGTGCAAACAAATCCTGCCATAAATGGCGGACCCCAGTAGAGCTGCTACTGACATGCAGATCACACTGATGGGACTTATGAGTCTCCTCACAATGCACAGCAATGCTAGAGAAATTCCTCATCTATGACGTCAAATAAACTACCAGTCAATTAAACAAGAAGCCATTTGCCACAAAGTAGGAAATGCATTGCCATTTGTATATCTTAGTCTTGATACGTTAAGGAAAATGTCGGGATTTCTTTTTATTTTACCCTGTTTGTCTCTTTTAGTATTTTAATATATGAAGCTGAAAGAATGTCCTATGGCGCTGTCTCTCTCATAGGTGTAGCTATGGTCTAATATAGATACATGGCGCCCTCTTGTGTCCATATTGTGTAGGCCTAATTGTAAATCGAAGAGTGCGGACTGCGCACACGCACGGTCGCCACTTTTTTTTTTATCTTGAGGGAGACTTTCCACTTTTTATACGATAATATTTTCCATCCCCTATTTTATTAATCCCCTTTCTTTTTTCTTTTTACAATGCCTGTGAGGCATTTAGTTAGCCTAAATATGGCGATTTATAGGCCTACGGGAAAACCCACACACGTTTACTTACTATCATAATATAGGCCTAAGTGTATTTTTATTACTAAAATGTACTATTTTGGTTTTTAGGCTATAGACTAAGCTTATCCTTAAAATTAAATAAACATGATAATAGCCTAGGCCTACTAATAAAAGCCTAACAATAATGATAAACGAATCCTTTGCACAGACAGTGACGCGACGCCCACAGCATCAACGCCATAAATACAGTAATTCTGCCCTAATTATAGGGTACAAAATAATTAAACAAAATAAATTAGGCTACATGCCAAGTACTTTTTTAAGAATAAATTAAAATTACTTTATAAACCACCCAAACTGAGGTTGTGTTATTACAGAAATACACAAAGACATATATAACAGGTCATGATTTTTACCTTAACAATTTGAATGTATTGTCACAGGGAAAATACATTATGAAATAATCAATCGAGTGAAAACAAGACAAGGACATAGACTGGTGATCTGGGTCAGTGTATCATCCGATCATTCAACTATTCCGTTCAAACTGGCAAACGCAAAACGGTAAACACTGGTCAATATTTCGTTTTTCCGTTTTTCTGTATGAACCAAAAAAATTGAAAGTTGGTAAATGGAAAGATCGTTCAAATGAGATTTTGGCTCGACATCTCTTATTTTGTTTGTGGTTTACAAATCGGTTTATGGCTTCAATATTTCATTCGCTTGTGGGCGGTGCTGAAACGCCCCTTTTCATTTGATTGATCAAACAGCCATGTCTGCTGTACTGCGTTCATTCATACGCTGATAGTGAGGCCTGTTTATTACTTTTATTTGTCATAACATTAATTATGATTCTGAAGTAGGCCCTGCCTGTTTTTCTAGGTGCCATTGATAAATGCTACGTCACTAGATAGGCCTATATTGCAGAGTTAAAAAAGAGAGCAGGAGATGGACCAGAGGAGGACTTCGTCCTGCAACTAAAGTTTTAAAAGGAACGAAATTATTTTTAATGTCACCCAATTATTAATTCAGGTCCTATATTTGTCTGTTATTTTTCTCATCAGAGAGATGCCTTTTCTCGTGGAGCTCCTGAGACTAAATTTAAATTATTTTATAGCATATAGGCTATAGCCTACTATATAATATAATATAATACATTATAGGCAGAAATACAGGGCTCTAATCCTTTCAGAAACGCTAAACCACGAGCTTTACTGTAGGCTAAATCACGCTTCTTTGGTCAGCATCCATTATAACAGTGGTTCTCAAACCTCTCCATGAAGTAGGCCTACCCCCAGCGCTGCACATTTTGTATGTCTTCCCTATATCTGACACACCCACTTCAGGTCTTGCAGTCTTCACTAATGAGCTGATGAGTTGAATCAGGTGTGATAGATGAGGGAGACATACAAAATGTGCAGGGCTGGGGGTACTCCAGGACAGGTTTGAGAACCACTGCATTATAAAACACTCGCAGGATGACTTTTGATAACTGGCATTGCGTTCAGTGCACCGAGAGCGCGCGCAGACGGTTTCTTTGCACATCAGTAGCCTAATGCCGAGTTCACACTGCACGATTTTCAAAGACGTCGCATCACTGTTGGTTTCACACTGAACGACTATCTGGGGTAGCATTCAGTTGTTGCTGTGTTCACACTGCACGATGGAACGACGACAGGAGGTTACACACTGCATGACTTTACAATAGGAAGAATCGCTGACAGCTCTGTCTGGTGCAGGGTTGCCAGGTTTTCGCTACAAAACCCGCCCAATTACTACTCAAAACTAGCCTGAAAATAGCCCAATTGCTTTCGAGGGGTCCCCCAGTAAAAATCGCGTTCAGGGGGTAAAATACAATTTTTTTTTTGTCTGGGTTCTCCTGGTACAATTCACATTCCAGGGCCTAAATATCACGTTATTGGGGTCGCTTCAACCTGCTGACATAAAAAACAACCGGCGGCAATCGCGGATTTGGCAACACTGGTCCGCAAACTATGTTTCATATAACTCCTCCCCGAACTTCCCGCTGCCCTGTATCGTGCTCTCTCATTTGCTGTAGGTCATCGCCAATGTGTTTTTCATTCAGAACTCATTGCACACAGCGTGATTGTGAATCGGCGACAGCTCCAGATATTTAGCATGCCAAATATTTCATGGGTGTCAGCGATTCCCTCAGATTGCGTCTTTGATAATTCACACTGCGTGATTGTCACTCGCGTGAACGAGCACCGATTTGCCTCCGATTTCGGGCATTTGTCGGCGATTTCGCGAAACCTGTCGGCGAGTGAAAAATCGGGCTAAAATCGTGCAGTGTGAACTCAGCATAACGGAGGCGTGCGTGCCGAACATACCAATTCTGTTTGTCACTGTATCATGTACAGTATATGTCACATCAGCATATAAATATGTGCCCAGCAACATATTTCATCTTAAAATTGCATGCACAGTTAACAGTGAGAGGTGGTGTGGGACAATATTTTATTCCAGTGCAAAAACATTGGCAGTAGGCCTACTGTACCGACTCTTTATGAATTCATGCAATAAAGAAGATGTGGTTGTTTGACCAATCAAATGAAAGTTCAGCAACGCCCACATGCGCGAGTGAAATATTTCCCATTTCTCGAGTGTATTCCTCCACAGAACGTCAACTTTCAATTTTTGGTTTATACAGAAAAACAGAAAAACTAAATATTGACCGTTTTTCATTTTTGTGAATGGAATAATTGAATGATAGAATGATACATTGACCGATCAGTCCTTGCATGTTTAAGTGGACCATGTGGAAAACTATGAATTCTAATACGCTTCTTAAAATGTAGCCCTATGCCCAAAATTCAGACCTACACCGTCCACGAGTCAATATTGAAGTTATAATAAAATATCAAAATGCACTTTATGTTGTCCAGCTGAATTTTAAGGGGTCATGAACTGAAATCAAATTTCCCTTGATCTTTTGACATATAACAGGTCAATGTAGCCTACTATAAAAACACCCTGTAAGTTTCAAAACTTTCTCGTTAAAGAGGTTTTATTAAAACCATAAGCTCAGAAAAGGACTGGTTTTGGAATGTGCCACTTTATGACGTAATAGTGTGACAAGGCACCGCCTCCGCAGGAGGTCAATGCCTACTTCTACGTCACTGCCGCTTTAGCTCCGCCCACTGATACGCGCTTGTAGTAGGAGGAGAGGAAATAGAGAAACACATGATTACTTTATCAACAGAACCATGCAGATGACATTACAAGATTAGCCTACAAGACATGTGTAGTGTAAGTTGTGAAAAATAGTCTTTGAATTGCCTAACATATCTAGATCTGACCCGAGCGCTGTTGCGTCATGTGAATCAATTTCAGGTCAGAAGCGGCGTGAATGCTTGCATGTCAGAAATAGAGCGGGACATCAGTTTACTGTCGGGGGTTTTGTAGTCAGTCTGTGCCGCATCCAGTGTAAACAGAATCGCTGATTATAATGGGTTCTGTTGTGCCGCTCACGTCCGGTGTAAACACGGGGTAAAATTAGCAAAGAGCTCCAAATCACGTCAGTGGAACATTGTTTGTTTGTTTGCTTTACTTTGGATTCATTTTTAAACAAGACATGATGCAGGCTTTGCGACGGAAAGTAAACGATGATGCAGCATTGAGTCTGACTAGAGTGGATCCAACAGTAATGTCGCAACACAAGTGCGAGTAAACGTGCTTTTACCACTATTTGCATTGTCTGTTCCAGACCGTTCTGCAGAGAGGCTCAAAAACAGGATAGAAAATAGTAATAGTCTATTACTTCTACATTTTTTTTTTTTTTACACTGACATTATAAGTGAATCTCAGAGAACATTATAAAATTTAAAAAATGCAGTTCATGACCACTTTAATGATGAATTAATCAGTGACAGCGTGATAGTATTTGTTTTCCATAAGATAGCGCTAAACGGCTTTCTTATTTTAAAATGATCAACGTTAATAATCCACCAAATAATCCTTTCAATCGAGTTTCTCTCTCTCTCTCTCTCCCTCTCTCCCTCTCTGGGGTGTGATTAGAATAGCCTGCAATAATCAGTTGCGCGTTTGAATATTAGCCTTGTGTAGTCTATTAGCGCGCACTCCTGAGGCAAATAAAAATAAATCAGTTATAGTGATTATTGATATTATTTAGGTTATTTAAACTGTTGATATTGTTAACGCAACTTAAATGTGACGCAGACACGGCACCGAAGGGTCCTGGCGGTTGCAGGTTGTGGCTGTGATAGAGGGTCGGAGGAGATCCGGGCCAGTATGAGAACCCCGACGGACCAGCACCTGGAGCAACCAGACTGAGTTTGGAAATGCCTGAAAATTGGATGGGAGCGAAGTTGCTCTGGAATTTGTAAATAGCTTGTTCGGTTGAGGAGGGCTGGCACACTTGCGCCAGGCCGTTAAAGTCAAATTTGTACGCGTAGCGCTTTCCGTGCACCTTGGTCATGATGTTTTTGTCGTAGTAATAGCGCAGAGCTCGGCTCAGTTTGTCATAGTTCATGTTCGGTTTACTCTTGCGTTCCCCCCACCGTCTGGCCACCTCGTCCGGGTCTATCAGTTTAAATTCTCCATTGGTCCCCTCCCAGGCGATGCAGGTCATATTGGCGCTGTCAGACAGCAGCTCCAGAAGAAATTGCCATAGCTGGATTTGTCCACTTCCTAAAATGCAAGGAACGTAGGCTTACATATATGTAGGGAAAACAGACAGACCTTTTGTAATCAGTATTCTATGTGAAGAGTGAAAGTAAATAACGGACACTCTTAAAAGGTTACTTATCAAAATCACTCTTTTTACAAAAACAGTTTTACTGAGTTCTTGGGTCCTTGAGATGGTTATATGGTTCTTTGGAGATGAAAAACTTACAATGAACATTTTTTTTTCATTGTAGGTTATTTGGTGTATAGTGGCTTCTTGGTTCTGCACCAATCTAAAAACTAAAGGTTCTTTATTGATATCTATGGTTCCATGAAGAAGGTTTTTTTTTTTTTTTTTTTGCAGTGTAAAAAGGTTCTTAAAATGTTTTTCACACTAAATAAATATTCACTGAAAGGTTCTTTTGGGAACACAAAATGTTCTATGGCATCACAGGTGAAAATCCTCTTTTGGAACTTTTAAGAGATGATTTTCTGAAGAACTAAAAATAAATATTTAAATATACCAAAAGTGCAGCTTTTTGTTAGTGTATCATATAATTAGGTTTATTTAATGTTTTATTTTTAGGCCTAATCATGAATATAAAATGAAATAAAATCATAAATAAGCAGTCTAACAATTTTAAATAATGCACACAATAGCATATTTAAAAAATTCTGCAAAAACACTTTTTGCACAAAAATAATAACATTCGCCTGTCAACAATTCATCGCAAAACTCACCTTTTTGCACGCCTGTGTTGATGGGGGTCCAAGAAGGGATTTTGCTTTCCTTCAGAAGATTTTCTGTGGGGTCTGAAAGAAAGCGTTTAAAAATCAGCCTGACATTTAGAATTGAGCTATGATTCACATTCTAAATGCCTTCTGAAAATATTGGAGTAACATTAGTTATTATGCATTAAACATATTTCCCCCGTCTGTATATTTGTAATTTGTACTTTTAGAGAAACCACGTAATGTCACCCGTATATATAAAAAAACAATCGCAGCAAAAGAGGTTAAATATTATGAGTATTGTCGTGTTGCTGCTCGATGTATTTGCCCAGACTTCAGCGCTGAGGTCAGGAAACGCGTCCAGGAAAAAGGATATCCGATTTCCGACAAAAGAGGACATGCGTTCCAGATGGAGAAGTCAGAGACACCGGCGATGGTGCGCAGCATTGCACCCGCAGACCCCTAACATCGCCCTTTTCTTTTCAGTCATTTCAGCAATATTTCTCATTTTACGCACAAAAAGACTGTGTACCTGAGAGATACATGTTAAACATAAGGCTTCCTCCGCAGTTCTGTCGCATTGTGGTGGCGGTGGAGGACGTGAAAGGGTAGGCTTTCATTGGCGCAAAGATTTTTATTAAACTTTATCTCAAAACTGTGATCTGGAATAAATGCGAGACAGATTGAAGTTTCCAGGCAACTGTCACAAGCCCCATCTCTGAGACAATATTCAGACAGCAATTTCCTTCGGTGCATTGGTTTAATTAAAAGAGCAATTTACCTCTGTCATCCCTCCCCGTCTCCACAATAAAAAGGAACCGATAGAAATTCGGCCTTATCAATCCACCATCAAGGTTTAATAAAGTTTCTGCGTTAAGATCAGAGTTTCTATGGAGAATTGAAGTGTTTGACATGGAAACCGGTTCAGATCCATTTTCTTTCCGCCTTTTTACCTCTTTGTAAACAGAAAGGCCTGTTCCATGTTGGTTGAGAATATTTACCTTTTAACTATGCCTAAGTGCATAATGGTAAACAAGAACATTTTATCCCAAACTTATGCTGCTTTAATGAGCAATAGATGGTATGGTAAACCCTCTGCCCTGCTTATCACTTCTGTTGGACTGTTACATAATGCATAGGCATATATGTACTGGTTATTATTATTATTATTATTATTTTCATTTTAATATGACCTTTCTAAATTAGTGTAATATTCTGCCTTTCTAAACTGATGATCTTTTATCATGTGACACATTTTTATTATAGGTCTACAAGTCCTTGAATTGCATGTATTTTTCATGTACGTTTTTTACAAAACCAAATCTTAACAAATAGTAGCCTAACAGAGATAGATTTAGATTCTGATGTACAGATTGTGAGTGTTTAATTATTTAAAAAAACAACAACAATAAAATAGATTGGGTTCACATTTGACAATAATCCCATATGACACTGAATTAATGGAGTAACAGAAAAAAAACGAGAAGGGAGGTAAATGTTTTATTATATTTTTTCTTGTGCCAAGAAAACATGCTAATGCTGTCTGTCTGTACAGGGGTGTGTATTTATTGTTTAAAATGACAATAAGGGTAAATATTTGGTAATAAGGGGTAAAGAAGTCTCATGACAATGAAACCGGTCAAGTTCTGTGATTACACTGCAGTCTGCTTATTGTGTATATTTAACCTGTAGGCCTATATACTGCACAATAATTGATTGCAGCAGCTTTAACTGTCAGAGCAGCATCATTATCGACATGAACAAACTTTAACATCACATGTAGCCTAATAATTTTAATCATCTTGAAGTACTTTCTGTGGATCGTTCTGACGCACGCTGTCGTGTTGTCTCTGGCGTCCCAGACTTGCTTTAGCTGCCTGAGTCATTAAATAGATCGCAGACAACTTAAAACAAGCCCCGGATTCAAGGCAAGGCTTCAGTTTGTCCACGCGACATAGACAGCTACTTCATGTGCATGATGAATACTCCTAAATACAATAATTAGGGAATCAAGGAAAAAGAAACTAGAAAACAAAAATGTAAAGAGAATAGTTGAGAAATCTGGTATAAAAGATATTTTCATTGTGTTTTTAATATCAGGTGATAGCTGTAATTACATGCATGTTTACACACTGTAAAAATGAATGGTTCATTTAAGGAGATATTACCTGAATCCACAGGTTCTCTTGTTTATTTAATTTTTTCCTTGAGAATTTTAATTGCGTTTTGAATTCAAATGTTTGAGCTAAAATGATCAAATGAAATGTTCAAAATCAGATGGGGCCGTGATGGGGATAATAATTAATTTAATAGTAAATTCAATTACCAATTGATAATTTGTTGAAAACCAATTGATAAATTACCAAAATGTAAAATGTCCATGTTTTACTAGCCGTACAAATTTCCTCAGTAGGGGGTAAATTGTAACTGCAGCACCCTTTATATTTGTTATTCATTTCAGTTCAGGGATCTGTAGAAGATTTCTAAATAACGTTAATGTGAAGCAGGCAAACACTGGAAAATTAGTTATATCAAAGTTTAAGATACATAGCACAAACAACATTGTGTTCGAGGTTTAACAAATTGTGTTACAGTACTCCCCTATCCCCCCTTCTATTGTTGATGTAGCCTAACCTTTTAGTCAGGTTGATTTAAACTCTAATAAATACGATTTTTATTTAAATATTTTACTTGAATATAACTAATCAACTTATGTTATAAATTAAAAAAGTAGCATATTTAGGTAATTTATTAAAACGTTTTACTGTGTAGTTTAAAAGGTTTGATTTGTGACCATAGTGCCGGTCTATCTCCTGATTTGCTCCCTTAATAAGTTGACTTACCCCGTCCTGTTATGTCAGACTGCAGCTTGTCTCAGATCCAGCTGCTTTCAGCACTCTTGTCTGTCTTAAAATCATTGAACTTAGAACGAGTGCTACACTTTTGATCAGCTCGTAGTGAAATGTGTATTTGATAAAGGTGTGTACGGTTGAACATTTATTAGGAGATCCTGGACTGGGTGTGGGAGCGGGTTTTCAAACTGCAACTGCTCTGTCCACATCTGATCCTGTGAGTGGGTGTGTGCAGTCAAATACTGCTAGCGTCCTGAACGGTTACACCACAAACAAATAAGAGGCGGAATCACACCCGGATCCCAGGGTTACGAACCGTTTGATTGGACGAACAAGAACCCGCACTTCCTTTAGCGCATAGTTAAAAAGATTCGTCCACTGCATTAGATCTCGGCTGTTTTTAACACTGAATGTACGACATGTATTTTAATCCACAAAGGTCGGGACCTCGGACAGCTCCAAACGAACCCAAATGGGTGAGACTCCCTCTCCCACATTATTCATTTGTCGTACCCCTCCCCCCAGTACTGATATATTTCTGTAAAACATATGCTATCTGTTTTCAGTCCACGTTTGTAAGAACGTAAAATGTAAATAAGATTACTGTATTGGTAATTGTTAACCGCACTTTAAATGTTTTTATTAAAATAATGCAGCTGACGTTTCAGCTTACGTGTCCATAAAGGGCAATTTTTGTTTTTGCTTAAAAAAATAAACGTTTCAAAACTCAGAGTTGCCTTACTTGTTTTCCATTTCCTTTTCCACGACTGTTATGTAGAATAAAGAATGACATTTTAAATTATTTAGTGACAAATTCCGTAATACAGTATTCCCCTCTATAAATACAATGAATTGACAAAACAGATTAATGCAGTAAAAATACATGATACTACAGCGGGATATTGCTTTTTATGATAACAGTACTGTACATGTTGTTTACAGTGGTAGTAGTATAAAATACAGTCAGTTGTGTATATATATATATATATATATATATATACACTGAAAAAAAAAACTGTTGGATTAACAAAAAAAAAAATGTACATCGGTTGCACTTATTTTTATTATGTTCTCTCAACATAATTTATCTCTGTTTATGTTACTTAACTTTTGTTTGTCAAATGAACATGAATTTTTTATGTTGTTTTTATGCTTTTTGTGCCACGTACCTCCTGTTGATTCAACATTATTTTTGTTTAAATAAAAGCTTTATCCACTATAGGCAGTGGTGTTTTAATAAATTAAATAAAACTATGATAAAATGTACGATAAATCCAGATAAAATTAATAACAGAATAAAAAAAGCTTTGGTAAACTATAAGTACTACTTTTTTAAATAAATAAAAGCATTTTAGCACCCTAAGTTGTTCCAAACCTGTATAAATTTGTTTGCTCTGCTGAACACAAAGGAAGGTATTTTGAAGGATGCTTATAACCGAACAGTTTTAGGGGCACCATTGACTTCCATAGTATTTTTTTCCTACTATGGCAATCAATGGTGCCCCAAAGCTGTCTGGCCTCAAACATCCTTCAAAATACCTTCCTTTGTGTTCAGCAGAACAAATAAATTTATACAGGTTTAGAACAACTTGAGGGTGAGTAAATTATACCAGAATTTTCATTTTTGGGTGATTGATCCCTTGAAGTATTTCTTTGAGGTGTATAATGGTGGAGCTTTAAAATCAGCACACTTTCAAAGAAAGTCCTTCCAAAAAAATGGAATTTTTGGGTGAATGTTCCCTTTCAGTTAAATGGGCAGTTTAATTGTGCAGTAGCTAATGCCAAGTTATCCAAATAACTAAGATTATCTGGCCCTCATCCTGATGTCCCCTGGTCTATCATGGGCATTGTCTCCTCAATGCATTCTGGGATGAGGGCTTCATCTGCAGCCTGGAGAATGCACAGTTAAAAAATGAGATTCAGTACGGAAATATCAAACTTAATTTCAATAATTTAGTAACGTCTGTATCCTGAGAAATGTAAACTCGAATATAATAAGAACCAGTCATGGTCAACAAAGACTGATTACAGATAACTGTTAGACCTCAGTTCTAGGATTGCGAATGGTAGGCCAAGAAATCCAATAGTGTCTTCCTACAACAAACTGTAAAATTATATTGCACACTTTGAATACGTACATGGATAATGGCAGAAATGTCATGACATGATCAGTATTATCTTTCAACGTTCAATTTAAATAATTGTAATTGCACAAACTATGTAGGCTACAATTTCAATTTGTTTATTGGGAAATAACTCATTTATGGGTTTTTTTTTCTGTCCTCTGATAAGCATTGTTCAGGGCTGCCGTTCCCAAAAGCTTTAATGCTTTCTTATGAAAATTTATACAGGTTTGGAACAACTTGAGGGTGAGTAAATGATACCAGAATTTTCATTTTTGGGTGAATGTTCCCTTTCAGTTAGATGGGCAGTTGAATTGTGCAGTAGCTAATGCCAAGTTATCCAAATAACTGTAAGATTATCTGGCCCTCATTGACGATCCCGATGTCCCCATTGTCTCCTCAATGCATTCTGGGATGAGGGCTTCATCTGCAGCCTGGAGAATGCACAGTTAAAAAATGAGATTCAGTACAGAAATATCAAACTTAATTTCAATAATTTAGTAACGTCTGTATCCTGAGAAATGTAAACTTGAATATAATACGAACCAGTCATGGTCAACAAAGACTGATAACAGATAACTGTTAGACCTCAGTTCTAGGATTGCGAATGGTAGGCCAAGAAATCCAATAGTGTCTTCCTACAACAAACTGTAAAATTATATTGCACACTTTGAATACGTACATGGATAATGGCAGAAATGTCATGATATTATTTAAAAAAAAAAACTGACCCGAAACAATAGGTAGTCCTTCAGAATGTAGGCTAGATATAGGCAGCAGTAATTTATGATCTAATATAATGCACGCAAATGTGTTCTTTACAGACCGGAGCGGGATCTGAGCGGGAATTGGTTTACGGTGAGCGTGAGCGGAATATTAACGGAGCGCTTGCTTGGGCGGTTAGAGCGACTGGAGCGCACGTCCATAGAGCGGAACACGTAGCGGAGCGCTTCGCTCACATGCTCTGGTCTGAATGCACTGTCAGCAGTGAGTGAACGCTCTCTGTGAGGGATTGGTTCTGTCTTGCAACATTTGCGTGTGTTCAGATGAGCAGGCATATAGTTCTATCCTACACAATTACTCGCTAACAAAGGTTATTCGTCCAATTCAATGCATATTGTACGCATTATTATTATTATTATTATTTTTTTGTTAAATAAACAAAACCACTGGTAAATAAAGCGCACCTTAGTATCGATATTTTTTGTTTGAGTATCAATACTTTCGATACTCGCGTCAGTACCGATATATCGATACTTCGGATCGATACGCCCATCCCTAAACGTTACTCTCACCTGCATTTAGGCGAGGCGAGGGGCATCTCAAATGAGCCCATCGTCTACACTGGACGCGGCACGGCGCGACAAATCCCGACAGTTAACAGATTCCCTGTTCTATTTCTGACGCAGTTCAAGCTCTTTGCAACGGCTGCTTTGTTGCGTCCATTGTAGACAGCTTCAAGCTGTTGCAGCACGACAACGGTAACGACCTGTGTAGACGCGGTTCAGTTTGTCGTACTGACGCCAGAGCCATAGAAAGAGAGTTGCGTCAACGGAAGTCCAAAACGCTCGATCGTCACGTGATTCACGTAGACCTCAAATAGTTCCAGGAAGTTCATAGCGGGCAATTGAAATACATCGAGTTGGAGACAGAACTGGGATTTTTGATATATATATGTAGTTATATTAGTGTTGTTTTTAAAAGATAAAATCCTCTAATATTTGAGGATTAATGTGGTCAGCTATCCTTACCTGCCTTGTTAACATATTTTAGGCTGAAGTTACCATGGTAAAAGTCCGTGTTTGCTATATAAACTACATTGTGGTATTCTACCAAGGTAACTTCAGCCTCTCTATATAAATATAAATGTACGTATGTGTGTTCTTACAACTTGCATGTTAGTCAGGTTCAATAACATCTTAATGTTCATTGTCGTTTTACTAATCTCATGGTAAATGTTAAGTTTGTTGTCTTAGAAAATTAATTCCAAATAAATGAATATATTTTATTAAGTGAAAACTAATCTTGTTTAATGTTTTTGATTCTTGTGCACCCCTCAATTATTATATAAAAATATATTTGTAGTATATTCCAATTTAAAACTTTAAAAAAATTACACATTTAATCATATATTTTATGTATGTTGACTTTTGTTATGCACTTATTTACAGCAATCGATTTATACATTTATAATAAACTATAAAGCATGTTGTCCTTGAACAGTCTCCACTATAGTTTGCTGTGCTGCATGGGAGTGCTCCAGTCATTCACAGAAAGGAGTGTGATCTGGAGGAGAAAAAAAATGATGCATTAAGTTTTGTTCAATTCACATTTATTTGTATTGCACTTTTTAATATACACATTGTTTCAAAGCAGCTTTACAGAAAATGAATGTTTCTACATTACAATTAAGAGTTCTGTTAACAGGTGTAACTGTGCCAAAGTAATGCTCATATGGCAGAAATGTTTTAAAATTAGGCTATACAAATCATGCAGTTAAGTAACATCACGTATTCAGAAACAATGAAATATATACAGAAACAATGAACAACTTAAAGTTCATCATGTTGATTACAATGCAAGGAAAATGTAGCAGTTTTGTATGATTATTCAGAGTCGGCTTCATCTGAAGTCCTCTCAAAGGTTGGCGTCATCTCTTCACAGGTGTTGGGTCATCTGAAGTCTTCGTAAGAGGCTGGATATAGTCAGCAGGAGCAATCTAAATATAGCTATAGATTACACCAACAAAAAGTGATGTAATCATACTTGGGAATTGGCACTTTTTTGCAAAGAACATTGAAAAACTTGCAAAACCCAGTGAAGAGACTCATTGTGAGTGTGATGTCTCATTACAGGGAATATACTTTTTTATATATAAAGAAAAATAGTATTAATTTTATATGAATTTATATGTGAATGTAGCTGAAATCCTCAAAAGCAGGTCCACAAAGAACAAATAATGAGGCATTAACATAAAGTTACTCATGCTCTTGTTTATTAGAAATATCACAGTCTCATATCCATCATATAGGTGGTTTAGGACATCATTAAGCAAGACTTGGTGTTGTTCAGCTAGCATAAAACATCCTAATTGTTAAATATAATGAAGTGGCTTATTCCTCCATCAGTCTAGTCTGACTATTCTAGAAAAAACCTTGCAAAAATTTCTGCATGATTACATATACCTAGAAATGTGGGAGGCCTGTTCTAATTACATATAGCTTTAAAAAAAACATCGGATCTTCTTGTTTTACATAAATAATTGCCTTTTAGCAGATCCATGAATTGAGCAAAGTTGTTTTAATTACAAAAAGCAAGGAATTGCCACAAACACTCTTTTACTATAGTTTAAATAATGTCTTTATTGCCTATAGTATTGACACGGCATGACATGGTGGGTACACAATGGTGTTGGGTCTTATTGCTGAATTCTGCGCATAGACTGGATCTGATTGGTATGTGCCTGGGTGCCGTACTCATTGTAGCATCTGTACTCTCCTTGGTGTCTGTCTCTCTCATAGATGTACTGATATCCACGGTAACCGGGAAACTGATAGCCTACCCAGCTGCCAGAGAAAAAGGCAAATCTCATTTATTGCACTGCACACCAATAAGACTGTGGGTATAGGGAGCTGCTACATCAGTGATACATTATTTGTCACAAAGAAATGGAGATCCACAAAGGACAACACTCTGTATAATATAATATAATATAATATAATATAATATGAGTTATAAAGACAATTGATGTAATGTTTGTTACAAACAAAATGTTTTGATTGCATGTATTGTAGATATGTGTTTTAAAGACATTTACTGAAAATCTATATATCTATATATCTATATATATATATATATATATATAAATGCAATCAAAACATTTTGTCTGGCTTTTGTAACAAACATTCAAAAATACTGAATAATTAAATATAGTTATTCAATATTTAGTTATTTATCCTAGTTTATTAATGACAGATGACCTGTGTTAAAAAGGTGATGAGGTGACTTACGCTCCAGAGTTGACTTTGATTGAGGGAACTTCCTTGCTACACCAACCCATGGCTTGAAGGGAAGGATAATCCTCACACATCTCAAATTTACGTCCCATGAAGACTTCACACTCATAGAGGGTAATCTTACTGTCACTGTGCTTCTGTCGGGGAGAGGGTGAGTGTGGGAAATGAAATGATTTTGAGGATATTTGTTATGACGTGAACCTAATGTGCTGTTTCAACAAAGAAATTGCAGAAATTATGAAAGAGGTGCTGGAGTAACTCTTCACAGATTTGACATAATGTTGCTTGTGCCCCCCGGGATAAACTTACAGCACATTTAATAGGCCTGAAAGAGAGCATGTGCTCTGTTCTGTAACTGCTGTTGCCACTCCAGGCCTGATAACAGGCATAGTCTCCTTTCTCCAGGATAAACTGCTGGCCCTGGAACTCAGGATACTCGTACCCCACCCAGCTGAGCGAGACAGAATGTCATAGTCAACGCAAACCAGGAAACAACAAACGTTTTACATGGCAGTGATCTCTACTGATCAGGACACAAAAGCAAACACAATAGTGTGGACTGAATGGAGTGGCTCTGTGTTCCTTTATCAGCTCATCTGTCATCACAGACAAACGCTACACAGCAGGCAGCTGCCAGCCACACGGACTATCGCTGCTATCTCTGTCATTGTTCCAGTTTGTATAAATATAACAGCATTCAGGCTATAGTTACAGTTGGAAATACTGTTTATAACTATGAAAGGTGATATATATATATATATATATAACTAAGACCACAGCGTGAATTCATGCACATGTGAGAAATTCCTGGGTAGATCAAGTGAAAATCGATTCCTGGATCAAGTGTTGACAGTATGTGTTTCCTGCTGACATGATCTTTTTATCATTGCACAGGTATCTGATGTTTCACTTTGAGGGCTAAGACAGTGGCATACTCACGTACTGAGGTGGGACAGATCCAGTATAATCAATGTGGTGGCCAAGCCCTTTGTCCAGTGTTTTTATAGGACAGGGCCCCTCATTTAGTGCAGAATGTGCATCAGGTCTGCACACTCAGCAGCAGCCAACAGAAAAAAATGCATTAGCCTTTACCATTGTGGAGCCCTGTGCAGCCTATTGTGGAGGTCTTAGACCCACTGACTCATCAAAACTCCACTATCTGCCCCCACATCAGACCCTTGGCTATTTACAATGGTGATGCTTTGACATTAGACTTTGAACGGATAGAGCAGATAATAGCAGAATTGCTGGAGATTAGACTGAGCCCTGGACACTCTCTGGTGCCTGCTTGTAGATGCTCTCTATGGGCAGAACTGGCTGTTGTTGACCTAAAGGAGGACTTCTCTCGCACTCTACTTTTTCTGAAAAATTATGGTATTAGAATACATTTCACAAATAATTTGATCACAATATCCACCTTATTTAGACAACGCGGAGGTAAACTATTTTCTTTGAACGTGCGAGACTTCCGTTTTTTTAGCTGCTGTAGAATAAGTAATTAGTGCAGTTTACGATAAAACTTATTGCGCTACAAACCAGTGTATTTATAATTACGATAGTGAATTAAAATAATATAATATGATAATGATGACACTAGAACGAATGAATGAAACGCATTTGTCCGTGTTTCACTCCGTCTCGAATCGCGCTCGCGGAAAGCGCTTGAGAAACAGTGGGCCCTACATACACCCGGCGCAATGCGGTGTTTTTTTGCTAGTTTCAGCCAGACGCAGTTGTCATTTTCACGTCCTGCGCCACGTTGTTTAAATAGGAAATGCATTTGCGCCCATTTGTGCGCTCATGGACGTGCTGGTCTGAAAACGAGGTGTGTTCAGGCGCATTGCTATTTTGAGGCAACTGAAATAGACTGCGCCATTGACCAACAAAAACCTGCTTTAAAGTCAATGGCGCAGTAGTTTTTTTTTTTGTTATTTAAAGAGCGCGTTAGTATAGGCGGGTCCACAGCGCGCGTACTGCTTATTTCACACACAGGGACGCACAGCAGCACACAAACATGCCAACTATTAAAAATAAACCTGGTCTAAAGTCAATGGCGCAGTAGTTTTTTTGTTATTTAAAGAGCGCGTTCGTATAGGCGGGTCCACAGCGCGCGTACTGCTTATTTCACACACAGGGACGCACAGCAGCACACAAACATGCCAACTATTAAAAATTAAAGGATTGCAATGTAAAAGATTATTATTGTGTAGGCTACATAAATGTAAAAATGCCTACATATCATAATGGATAGTCATTGCATGTATCAGAATTAGACTACCTATTTGCTCGCGCAGGAGTAGCTCCATTTCATCTCTGGAGACGCGTTCTGTCGTTGTGCTTGCAAATTCCGCCGTGTAAATAGCAAATGGCACGAGCGCAACTGGTTCTTAAAGGGAATGGGAGATGAGACTGTTATTGAAGTGGGGTATGAGTGGTTATGAACGAGTGAACGAAACGTATTTGTCCGTGTTTCACTCCGTCTAGAAATGCGCTTGCGGAAAGCGCTTGAGAAACTGTCTATTCTGCGGCTAGGTACGCTTTCAACTCGTTTTTTTAGTCTGGAGCAAGACTGTATGACATTCACATTACATGATTTAACTGATTTTTACGTAGAAAGGGCGACAGCGCACCACATTAAAAGAAATGATCATTCATGTTTTCATGACCGCTGGCCAAATTCAAAAACGAAACTAAAATTAAATCATCTTTGAGAGCAAGGGGGCCCCCTGGTGTTTCGGGAGCCCTACGCAGCTTGCGTATTTTGCGTATAGGGAGGATCATTTTTTTTTAATCTATAATAATTTCAGCTGTTAAGATACATATACGGCACGTTTTTGTACAATAAAACAACGTTTAGAGCATGATCAGGTTAATAAAAAAAGTAGGCCGTTTAAATTAATTTTAAAAATTACAATCAGTCCAGTGGTCAGCCGTGTTGATGACATCTGGTGGTGTGATAACTTTACTGCATGACAGTAGCTAGAATTCAGTAAACTACATTTTAACATTTTTATGACCTTTATCACCACAACAATATGTTGTATTATTCAAAGAACTACATTTATTACAATGATGTTGGAAACAAACCCCTATTAAATATTCTAATAAGCCAAGGCATGAATATGTGTGTGTGTGCATGCACATGTGATTATTCACCTGTTAGGTGTTGTTTGCGTAAGAACAGGCGCTGTAGAGATGCAGCTGGTGTCCTGTTATACTGATTTTACTGATCTGAGAGAAACACTATATTTATAATTAAGTTGCATCCATAACGTAATTTTATGAGAGCACAGAGTAATTGCAACATACTAGCTCTACTCAAAAATCAGTAAATTCGGCAATGATGCATTAAATCCAAAAGTGATATAATATAAAATATAATATAAAAACAGCACAACTGTTTTCAGCATTGATAACAATAAGAAATCAGCATATTGGAATGATTTCTGACTGGAGTAATGAGTAATATATATATATATATATTATATTAGTACAACTTTAAGTTCTGTATATATATATATATATATATATATATATACAGAACTTAAAGTTGTACTAATATTTTACAATATTACTGTTTTGATTCTTTGTCAAATAAACGCAGCCTTTTTTTTAGCATAAGAGACTTCATTCAAAAACATTAAAATAATATGAGGCTACATCAGAAGATGATCTGTAAGTGTGTGTTCAATGTACAGTTCCAAATGCAAAAACAAGGTGTAACTGTCAGAGTGATTTGACATGCAAATCAATCCTTTGTAAATCAGAAAGTGTGGTAGCCTACTTCCGTCTCACTCCAAAAGGATATTGTATCCTCATAGTGGCAGGATTTGGGATATCTGTGTATTTAAACAAAATATAAAGTTTAAGTTCATCAATATCTAAAACATTTATCAAAGTTTAAATACTAATTGAATTGTAAAATATCCACATTTCATATAGATGTGAAGATAAACATATTTAGTTTTTATTATTTTATGTATTATTATTATATTTGTTTTAGTTTATTATTGTTGTGTGTTGTCAGTATCATCAAACCATGTGTGAATATTGTTTTTCCTGATTTTCCTGAGTCATTCATTTACTTTGCAGGTGTGATGGTGAGGTGAAACTGGCCGGTACTTTCTAAATAGTTAGTGCTGGGTGATGTTTTCTTTAGGGTGCCGTGGAAACTAATCCTTCTAAGGGCAAATGTGAACAGCTCCAGACAGCTAGTGCAGGTGACATCTGCTCAGATAACGTCCTTTATGTGTTTGAGCACAAGCATAGAGCTTCTGCAAGAACATGGCCACAACAGACATTTATATCCAGTCTACTGCCAAAGGCAAGAAAAAAGATCATTTGCATTTTCAACAGTAACTCTTTTAACTGCCACATAGCCAACAGGAAATGTCTGTTTAGCAGGTAGCTGTTTGCTAAGCACTTATGGAATAATAGGCTAGATATGCTTCATTCAGAGACAATTATATTGAATTACAGACACAATATAAGTGGCACAACATAAGCAGAACTGTAAATGTATCAAATGTTAAAATAAATAAACAACAACAACAAATTTATAAAGTATTTGTTTCCACTTAAAAACGAACTGACCATGCTAACATTTTTTTTTTAATTTGTTTCTGTTTTATTAAAATAACGAATAATAGCCATTCAATAACCTTATAGAGATTAAATATGCCATTACCTGCTGAATTATGAAAAGAAACATTCTGACAAGGATAGAGATATTTAGTAAGGATATTTACACACTAAAGAATGGGGCTTTTCTCAATTATCTGACTAGAAAATATTTATTTATTCCAGTTTAATGGCAATATTTTATTGGCAATATGATTATATTTATATTGTTCTTAATATAGCGTTCGTGTGTATATACACACATGAAGGTTTAATACTAAAAACTGTTGACCTTATAGTGTTACAGGTGGTCCTGGTAAAAAAAATAAAATAAAAAAATAACATGCCAAATCAATTAATAAAATGAAAATAAGACATATGAGACATTTGTATCCTATGTTGACATATTTCATAAGCATGCATTCGTTATAGGCTAGTTCAGCGCATTAATTCGCATTTTATTACTGGTCTTAAAATGGTTAAGCTTCGGTGAAGAGTGCAACAGCAGTGAAGTGTCCCGCTGCTCTGGTGTTTTACTGACGTGGGTCTGCATCTGCGTAACGCGAGCCGAACGAACAAAACCTTGTCATCTGCAGGTATTGTGCGTGTGGCTCAACGTGAGACAAGTACAGAAAACACACACAACATCCATCCTGGACGTCCATTCATTCATTCATTGGGTTTCTGATGATGACGTCTTCTTTCCTTAAAGACACAACAAAGAAGAACAACAGATCATGTGAGCAATGATTTTCCCAAGTAATAACTTTCTTCAACAATACAAAACATCATATCAGTAGTCCGTGTAAATGAAAATATGAATAGGCTATACAGTTCAT